GCAAAATGACAAAGACGGCCATCTGCTAACCAGACACACGGCCGTACGCGCACATATACAACACACAAGGGGTGCCAAACGGATCGATTAGCAGACAAGGAGTGTGAGGGCCACAGCAGGGGCCGGGGGAGACACCCAGGGTCAAAGAGATGGTGTCCTGTTTCAGCACATGCTAAATCAGTTACCATCTCCACACACATAAAGCCCTGGCTCAGTGCTGCAGCCACCCCTCATAATCCCCAAACAATCTGGCTCAATCTGGAGAATAAGTGGAGGGTTTCTAGTTACAGTAACACTCGGCAGAACAGACTCTAAACCTCTCACACGAATAACAGAGAGCAATGTTGCAAGAATGTTACTACTTAGGTTTCTGAGTAGCGTTTGTTTATTTCTTGTTTCGCTAAAGGATTGAGTTGCTCTTGTTTTCATTAGGAGCAGGTTGATCCAGTGGAAAAGCCATGACTGCTGGATAAAAGTAGCTTGGATGTCATCTATTAGCGACGTATTTATGAATGACCTCTTTAGGAATACCATCATTTTCTCTGTTTGCATTTTCCAGATGAGGCACACATGTCCAGAACCTGAGAGTGTATAGGTTAAGTAGGTGAATTGGTGTGCACTTATTGCGAGGCTCCGTGTTAGCGGGGTGTGGTCATCTGTGCCGTGTATTAACTGACAATAGCCAGCTCCTGGGAGGGATGTGATCCAAGCCGCAGAAGTATACTGGCACACTGTGCTCCGGTGCTATTAGCGCACTAATGCCTTCCCCAGGACTCCCCAAGGCTAACGCTGGGCCTTAACCTGATACCACACATGCTACATAAGACATAGGATTTGCTCTCCTCTTTCTCAAAACACATCTGGGATTCAGATTTTCCTGTTTGTCAACAAAAGGCCTCCTAGAGGCTGAAATTGCACAGACGGGGATTTGGGACAGAATGCTGCCGAGCTGCCCCTCTGCACATGTCTCAGTAAGTGTAATCAGTCCACATATGTCACGTTAACCCTTTCCACACCAACGTGAGGTTACACGTTTTATTACTTTGTGTCACAGCGCTCCTCCTTGTGCTCCTCTGAAGCCCTCTTGTGGGGGGTTTATGCTGGGTTTAGAGCCCGACTGGTATGTCTGCTACGTGACAGCTGTCGTAGCTTCTCTGTTTAAAGACAAAGGATTTGTGGGATGTGAATAATTAAGATGACAATCCAACATCGGAATTATAAACATTTGTAGTCAAGGTAGTGGTCAGACAGACCCTACATGTGGATACATGAGCTAAAATTGTCAGTCTCATTTATTTAGGACAAAAATAGCAGCAATATTCAAAGGAAATTATTCAAATGTAAAATATCAAATGATATGAAAGTCCCCCTCCACTTACAAATGTGTTTTATGTTTATGTCCCCTAAATCCCCCTGACCTTGACTATATTGACTGCAAAGTTTGTCACTGGAGGAGGTGTTTAACATTCCTCTTCTCAAGGAGGCGATGTCTGTGTGCTTAACTTAAAACTGAAATATCAAACATACGCCAAGTAAGCTAGATTGGGTACATAACAAATTTGAATGCCAATCTCTGTATAAAGCCCTATTTCCATGAAAATACTATTACCAGTCGATCTCATGACATATTGGAATGAATCCCCCCATGTCCGTCTTTCATGCGGCGCATTCTCACAAGATAAGCAAAATCTGTATTTTACCCACATTTACTGACATTATTCCCTGGATATGATGCACACAGTCATTTGTAACTCCACTTATATGTAGGTTTAACAAACAGAACCGATTCTGCCACACACTGTCACATATCATCCATCTCATCATCTTTCGAGATTTCACTCCTCTGATGGATGCGAGCTAACTCCTTCTGCAAACAGGTCTCCATGCTGTGTAGTGAGATGAACCTCCTGCACCCAAAACGCTGTCAAAACTTCCATTTATAATTGCCAATGCAGCCTCTGTAACTCTTGACGAGAAAAGAGGGACTACAGTTAGACTACAAGCTAGAAAGCTAACAAACAACATAAATAAAAAATAAAAGATGCCAAAGACGCTTACCATTCCAATACGGAACAGATGTCTCAACTGAGTCTAGGTCTGACTCAATCCCCCAGGAACAGTGTCAGGCTTTAGAGACAATTTTAGCTAATTTTAAAGTGGCCAAATGTGTAATTACAGCTTCTGGGTCTGTCACACAATGTCATGGGACCATAAAGACTTTTCCATAGACTGATCATGTGAAAGAGACGTCATTAAATCAATGGATTTTTTTTTTTTGAGCACAACCTCTGCAAAATGACTCATTTCATTATCAGGATTTGATCCCTTCAGTCTGAAAACACAAAGAGCACCACCATTATATTGATTTTCTCCCCATTCAGCTCAGCAGAGGGCTAAACCACAGGTTAGCTGCTCAGGTGGCGTGAGTTAGCCCCTCGGCTACACTCAGCTGAGATAAGGCCCTGTGTCCACATAGCATTTTTCTTCAGCAGAAAAGCCATGGCAGAGTGCTGGGAAGTGCTTGATCCCAGAGCTTCATGAAAAAATGCTCCCAGCACATTTTTTTAATGATGTACTCGCAGTACACAGTCAACATCAAGCTTTTACATACTCCGCAAGAACAGAGAAATTTGTTCTCTCTCACAGGGCTGCAAGAAAAGAATGACATCATTTTTTTTCTTGCAGCCCTGGTTTGGGAGTTCTTGCAGCTTGTTCTCGACACATCATCTGGGAACTTTTTTCTTGTGTGGTGTCTGAGAACTATTGTGTGATTGGTCAGAAATTTGAAGTAGGCGTGTGACGTATGCGGCAGGGGGAGGGGCCTATGAGGACTTCCCAGAAGTTCTGCACTCGAGTTTCTCGTTAAGTATGAAATGTCCTGGCCAGAAAGAACTTTGTTCTTGTTCCCGCCACCTCGACAAAAAGAACAAATTTTGCAACATCTAATGTCCACTAGCCGATCTATCTAAAGGGTAGCAGTGATGTCATCGGCGGCTTTCTAAAAAGTTTAGAGATTTTCAAATTAAAGCGCTCAGAGCAAAGATGAAGCACTCTGAAAAAAGATGCCAGGTGTGGCGGTTTTTCTCTAGGCAGCTTCATGCGGCCACATACGCTCTCCGCTCATTTTTAAAATTTCGTCCCATTGAGATCAACAATCTCTTTTATAAGGGAGACCTGGCCAAGACAGCATCACACAAAAAAACACAGCCAAACAACCACACAATAAAAAACATAAAAGAAATACAGTAACAGGTAGAAATGTTAGAGCACCTCGGCACAGTGACAAGACCCAACCGACTCATTCATCCTTGTACTTATGACAGCTTTAAATTTTTTGGGAACAATTCAGAAAAGACGCTGGCACTGAGAAAAAAATAAAATGCTATATCAACACAAGCCTGAAGTCTGTAGTGCGCTTGCTCTATGGGCGCCACAATGCTGAAGATCCAGGAAATGTAATACCATAGAAAATTGAGCTTCTTTGGCTTCATGTGCCACTGAGCACAGTTCATAGGAATGAACAGGAGCCCACCTCTAAGGCTGTATCCAGGTCTCTTTATACATCCATGGTCTGACTGAGGCTCAGACATTTATGTCAGAATCTCTCCAGTGTTTCCTCTGACACTGACACCAGCCATCTTGATGCACACTGCTGTTTCAACGGTCAACCTAGGGCAAGCAGCACTAGAGACAGTGTAAAGCAAAACTTAACGTCAAAATTTCTCAATGAAGATCTATGATGTGGGGAAATAATGCTAAACAAATATTAGTATTAGTGTAAGCACTTTAACACACTTTAAAACGTGTCTGGAGGGAAACTTCAAACATTTACTGTGTAACTCGATCAGTCCGTCCGTACCAACTGACAGGACTGGAGGAGAAACATTCCTTCAGCACAGTTGTGTTTATAGCAGTGAGAGATAATATTACTCCTCTCATATACTCCCCAGATGGATTTTCTGATTTAATAAGCATCTTTGCATTTTGAATCCCAAGGAAACACAGCTAATTAACCTTATTCCTTAAAGGGGCAAAACATCTCCCCCATCAATAAAATGACTTGCTTGCCTGTTCAACAATTAGTCACTGAAGAGAGATTACGTTACTATGAAGCAGATAAGAAATTAGACTGTTGTAAGGAATGAACGTAAATGTGTAGCTGTAGATATCTGTTTCATTAAACTGTACACTTGCAGGCATATATATATATATATATATATATATATATATATAAATTCAGGACAGCGTAAATTCTTATATCATGAGGAAGGGGGCTTAAGAAAATATAAGTTTGATTCCTGGCTCTTTTTTCTGAGCACAGGAGGTGTATTTAGTTTGCACTGGCTCCCTGATCTATGATATAAATTAAACAATTATTGAACCCAGAATTTTTACTGTATTTTCCTGTCTGAGACTTTAATTTCGGTGCGGTTCTATAGGTTACCTCATATCCCTTCTATAGATTAGTAATCAGCTCTGGTGCTCCTATCTGGCCTTTGGATCAGCTCGTGGTAAACAGATCCATGTGTCAGTGGACTGTTTGACTGACAGCCTGTCACTTTCTCTTTGTCATCATCGCCTTGTGCTCAGATAGGATCAGTAGGAGTTTGGCCGGACTGCTTTTGATCCAACTGGGATAAGCCACATTGCCTCTGATGTGCTCCTAAACTGTTGGCCAGTTGCAGCTCCAATAGCGAGCCATGAAGTGTAGCCAATGTAAGCTTTTGCTCTGCAGTGGAAAGTCGGTGTACATCAGAAGTGAAAGGCTCGGAGTGAAAGATATCTGGTCTACCAGCAGCCAGGTCAAATCTGTGTTAGAGCAGGGCAGGGCAGGACAGAGGCGGCAACACACACACCTAAACCATCTGTGAGGCAAGACATCGCAGCGTTCAACATGGCAGGATACATAATTTATTCTGGTTTTAAACCTGTATGGTACAGTATCAGTTTCATGTGTGAATGATGATGTCTCATGCACACTAATGGTTTTTGTTCCCCAGGTGAGCGTCCATACCAGTGCCCCTACTGTGACAAAGCGTTCAGCAAGAACGATGGCCTGAAGATGCACATCCGCACACACACTCGTGTAAGTTCCCCCGTCTGTGCTCCTGTTGTAAAGGACTTTTATATTTAGGTATTTTTGTCTGTGTATGAATTATTTTGTATTCTCCATTGCTTCTTGGTTCACACACTAATTCATTCTTTATTTGACAGTATATTGTGTTAAGTACAATTTTATTTGTGACTCTTGGCCCTAGTTTGCATGTACATGGGTAATTTAGGTGATGATGTTTAGAGACTCTTGTGAAGCCAACAAGACAATTGCTGACACAAATCAACTACAGAATACACCTTGAAAACAGTCAAATCCACGTAATTTAATAATACTAGTCCTTACCCATTGGTAGCTTTGTCACCTTCTACCTATGCTAATCCTCAATGCCTATGTGCAGTTTCACATAGATTGACCACGTCAGTGAGTAGAAAAACGTGGGACTGACAGAATGACACACTGACAGTGATTATGTACAGCATACCATACCATGACTTAGTCATACCAAACATTAGAAAACACCAACATTGGTCCACAGGGGGAGCCACAGCGATTGGTCGCATTTTAGCCATTTTAAAGCATTTTTCTGTTGTTATAGCGCCACCCAGTTGCCAATTAGAGTTAAATTTCTCCAGTCACCTTGAGGCGTCCTGTTCTACATATCTACCAAGTTTAGTAAAAATCCATATGGCGGTTAGGCCTAGATAA